ATGTAAGTATTTAGTATGACAAACCATAAACACACCTGATGAAAAAAGGTAACATTTGCTCAAAAATGGGTTTGAATGTTATACAATACCTCATTCCTTATTCTAAAACACCCTAAAATTAACAATGCTATATTCTTGGGTGTTTAAGTTATTACACAAGTCCATGATAATGAAGCAGCTGCTGATAGTTCATCAGATAGTTACAATATTAATATTAATATAGATAAAAATCCAAATGAAGTTCATGATATTGAAGCAGCTGCTGATAATTCACCAGATGATTATGAAATTAATAAAGATAAGGATTCAAATAAAGAAGCTTGTGCTTATATTGAATCAAATTGAGAATTGTTTATACAAGCATTCAAGCAGATCTGTTCAAAGAGATCTGCAAATAACTGGTTACATGTTAGAACTATAATGGATTAGAGCCATTTAGTGCAAATAAAGAAAGATATTCAAGCTACAGAATAGTAAAAGTGAAGACAAGCAACTTGGAAATTAGAGAATAATAGGAAGCTATACCTTATGTATTTACTTTATCCTGAAGAGCCAAGGATGACAGAAAATATGAAAATTAATAGAAATATAAGTATTATAAATGATGAGAAAGAGTAAATAAAAAAATAACAAGGTTGCATAAGGTAAAAATGGTTATAAGCTTTTCATACCTTTAAAATTTAAAAATTGTAACAACTTCTATATAATCAATTCATACTAATAATTTCTGCTATAATCTAATCATATCTTTCTGAAAGTTTATAAAAATATTAGATTTGAAAAATAAATTATTAAATAATAAATTAAACACAAAAAAATAATTAAATTAAACAAAAAATAATTAAATTAAACAAAAAATAAAGCAAATATGAATTTTTTTAAAGCCTCATCAGTTTAATAAATTAATATAAAAGCTGGTTTTTATTAGAGATTGGACCTATTTGAAAAATCTCTACTTGGATATTATTAAATTACTATGTATTTTAGGTAATCATATAGCTACTTCTACCTGGATGTCAATCCAATCTCTAGTTTTTATAAATCAGGATCTTTGACTTCAATATGAAAAAACTTTAACTTTTTATTATTTGATTACCATCTTCAGCTATACTATTATTATCATCTAGTGTCCATCATCTGATTGGTCCAAATTATTTAGTTGCGACTGCAGCTATGTTAATTATTTATGTCACTAGCATTTTGAAAGGCCATCTTAGCTAATTCTTAATATGTGTAGTTAACATTAAGGTTGATTAAGTTGGTAGATTTTCTGTAAGTGTAATTGGTTCAGAGTTCCATATGTTGTTTTTTAAAATAAAACTATTAGATATAGGTGCCAAGTATAATAGATTAGGTAATATAATAAGAAAGTTTTAAAGTATGAAAATGTTTACTGTTTTGGACATATTTGTTTTGATAACTGTAGCATATGACATTATTTGGAATTTTGTAAGAGATAAACTAGTTTGCCTACTTTTTGTTAAATTTTTTTGACAGAAATAAGATGTAAAGAAAACAGAAGAGTTAGAATTATTAGTTTTATTTTTTTTAAGAGTGTGAAGTTTGTTTCTAGTTTTGTATTTTCTTTAGGTTTTTTATTTTGAAGAACTTAAAGTGTAACTGGTGTAGCTTGGATGTTTAGCTGAACTGAGACTCTGTAAGGATTTATGTATAAAGAAAGCAGCACTGAGTTAGTATTAAGAGATGTTTTGAAATCTTGTAGTTTAGTAATTGGAGTTCTTTGTTTTTTGGCTATGTTGAATAAGTCTTAGGTATTCTGAGAGTTTATTTCCTCTTTTTTAAAGTATCTTTTGTATCAATTTTTGTTTACTTTTTGTTTTTTCAATAATCTATAGAAAGAGTTATTATTTGTAAATTATTAATATAAATTTTAATATTTGAATTATTAATATCAATTATTTGTATTAAAATTGCAATATTCATAATAATAATATTTTTTTTAAAAAATGATTTCTTTAGTCTTTTGACTTTTATTAATAACTTTTTTGGTAATATGATTTTATGAATTATTACAGAAAGATTATATAATTGGCTATATATATAACTTTTATATATTATCTATTTAAGAAGTTCATTTAAAGGTTTTTTTTTTTTTTTAAATATTAAAGTAATTACTTGCGACTCAAGATTTTATTGGTAGTATATTTGACTAATAGATACTTTATAACTATAGAAGGCAATCATAGGAAGAGTATACAACTAGTCACTTATACAACTTTAGTTATTGTCTAATTTAAGTAGTTCATCTGAAGGTTCTATACTAGCTGTCATACCTAAAACCTGCTTGTAGATTCCCTATTTAATTACTCTGTTTCTGTATCTATCTACTTACCTTTGTCTACCAATGATTCTAACTAATATTAGTAAAAATATGCTATAACTATTAAGTCTTTAAAGCAGTTCACTTATATAGGAAACCTTTAACCTTGTACTAAACCTTTCAGAAGCTTTTGTATCCTATTCTTATAGCTAACCTGGTATCACTATAGCCAAGACCAACACTAGCAGTTAGGGCATATCATTAAACTGCTATGCTTTTGTAGAGTTCATCTCAATCTCAATACTGATTTCACAACATATTCCTACTACTTTGGTATTTAATTCAAGTTTTACCAAGATGCCAAATCAGATAGCTCAGAAAGGTCAAAACCATATACCTCTGGTTTACATGTTTACCAGCATGTAACTTTTTTCTCTAGAATCTGGCAATTCTGATAGCCTGGTTGGTTCATCTGGTCTCTTCTTAAAGACTAGCATATTTGTCTGGTTTTACAAGTTCTAGCTCTGTTTTATAGGTTTAGTTTTTACAGTAACACTATTGAAAGTTTGGATTACTTCTCTAATCAGATTTTTCAAATAGGTTTTTATTTTTTTTCTTTTAGTTCCTATAATTTACATGGCCATGAGGACTTATTGTAGGTTTGCACTATCTGATACCAGTTTGCATTCCTTCATGAACCACAGACCTTGTCCCAAAGGACAATGTTATGTGACTGTTACACAAATGCCATGTGACCTGCCAATTATGCTAGTGCAATATAGGTAACAGATGTTTTATCCTAACTAATTGCAAGAAACAGTTAACTGTAACACTAGAAGAATTTTTAAATTTTCTGTTAACACTAGGATTTGAACTCTGAACTTGCTACTTGGGGGTTGACAACCTGACTATTTCACTAGATCACCATATTCTATCTAAAGATTTTTTATCAATTGCTATATTTAATACCTTTGTTTAGATGTTCTATTTTAAATTTTTCAAATTTAAACTTATATTAATATTATAAAATTATACTCAAATTATTGTTTTAACTTTAGAACTATTTTATTCTCAAGATAAAACTTCTAAAATTTTTTGTATTTATTTTTACAGCTGATTTAAATATCACTATAACAAAACTAACATTTGTAATTAGAGTTATATTATTTAATCACTATGGTCTTATAGAGTTTACTCAAATCTCAGTATTTACTTTATAATATATTTTTAATACTTTAATATACATTTGACTGTTCTTTAGACTTCTAACTCAGATAATTCATATAGAACTACAACTAGTCTATTAGTATATTAGTTCAATTTAATATTAATTTTTTTTAATTTATTCTAGCAACTTGATTAGTAATATCCTCTACTTAGAAGTTTTTGTCTATTTAAATACTTTGGTATTAGTATTTATTTTCTAAGTTTAGTTTTTATAATGATATCATTAAAGATTTGTACTATTTTTCTACTTGGTTCTTTTCAAATAAACTTCATGTTTTCCAATTTCAACAAATTTATACAATCACAAGGTCTTATCTAGAGTTTGCACTACCTAATGCCAGTTTGCTTTTCTTTATATAACTAATTACACAAATGTTTAATGCTTTTCTAATTATAACTACTATTATAAGTATTTTAACTCAATCATTAGAAACAGTTACTATAATTTAAGTATTATATAATTAATTTTATTTCTAATAACTAAAACTAATATATTCTTTAGGCAAATTAAATAATATTGCAACTAAAAATTAATAAGATTCTTATAATATATTTTTTTAATCAAGAGCATAAACAATTTTATTAGCTTGTCTATTTGGTATTTTATTTCTAATATTATAATTAATTATTCAAGTTTGATTTAAAAGTTTATAAATTATAAACTGTAAAGTAAGATTATCCTTAAGATAAAAATGATTTTTGGATTTTTTTTTAAAAGATTGATATTCTAATTTAGCAATTTATTAGCCTAATCTTTTGAGCTAATAAGTTTAAATTATTAATTGGCTTTAATATTCTGAAATGTTGTTTTCTAAATCACTCTTTTTTACAGATTCTAAATGTAAACAAAATATTTTAGAACCAGAATATTCAGTTTTTTTTCTTCATTATATTTCTAATAGATTTATTATTAAAATAAATTCTTAATTTTAAATTTATTTATAAAATATAATATAACTTACCTTTAAAAATAATGAGGTCGCATTAGATAATGATTTATTTGAATAAATCTCTTCTTCATTCGAAGTTTTTTGATCAATCCATTTAATTTTATAAATTGGTTTTTGATCAATTTAATTGATTAAAGCAATAATTGTAACTTCTTTATTTGACCTTCCCCAAGTAGTTTTAATTATATATTTGTGAAGTATTTTATATTGTCTGGGTTTTGCAGTATATTGTAGAATTTGTGATGACGGATAGATTCCTTCCTCAATAATATCATATATACATTTATCCCTAATGTTATCAATAGTTTATCATAGTTATTATATAAATCAATTGACTCGACTGACTCGTTAATAACATACTAAATTATAGGGTACAACAAAATTAACACATATGCAAACAAATACTGGCACACGTAATTACTTAAATTTGTTACAATACTGCATTGCATTACATATGTAATGTCTTTATTGAATTTACTTTTAATAATTAAAAGTTTATTAAAGAGGCTTTGAGAATAAGAATTTGATAAAAACAGTGAATTCTAAATAGATTTAGTAGAAGTTCCTTCCAATAATTGTTTCAAATTTTCTAATAATATTTCATTTTCTTGAGGGTTTCCTACTGTAATTCTTAAACATCCTTCACAACCTAATTCACTACCTCGATACCTGACCACTATTCCTAAATGTTCAGCTAATTCTTTATAAACCCATTGTGCTCTCTTGTTACTTGGCTTTTCACAAGCTTCATCTAAAACTTGTACAAGAATAAAATTAGCATCATTTGAACCTAGTATCTTACCAATACCAGTTATATTAGTAATAGATGACATGAGTTTGGTATGTTCTACACGAATTTTACGAACTGTCTCACGCATTTTTTCAATATTTTGTAATGATAATGCATCAAGTGCAACATGGGAGGTTAAAGAATTGATGTTATATGGCGCTTTAGTATTATTCATCAAACGAATTATTTTTGGGTTAGCTATACATATACCTAGTCTGAAATGTTTAATAAATAATTAATAATTGGCATTTTTAATGTGCAAAAAAAATATATACATATGTTTATAGTGTTCTAATGAATTTTTACCTAATCCCAGCTAAACCAAAACTTTTACTTAAAGTATGCATAACAATTAAATTAGGATATTCTTCAACCCATTTTGCAACACTAGCTTTTTTTGTCTCCTCCGTGAAATCTATATATGCTTCGTCAATAACCACTACTCCTTTAAGATTTGGATCATCCAAAACTGCTTTTATATCGGTATGGGATAAGCAGGTGCCAGTTGGGTTTCCAGGAGAACAAAGAAAAACTATTTTTGTTGAAGGGTTTTCGGATAATGCATTGGAGATCTAAATAGCAAGAATTAGATGACGAAATTTTTTTAAGAAAAATTAATCCAAAAATTTAACGTACTCTATCAGGTTTTAACTGAAATTTGCCATCTTCTACATCCAAATTCACTTTAATTATTTGGACATCATTAATATTAGCACAAACAGAATACATTCCATAAGTTGGTGGTGTAATTATAATTTTATCTTTTCCAGGAACACAAAATATCCTTATCACTAGGTCAATAATTTCATCAGAACCTACTCCTAGAAAAAAGTAATCAATCGACTGCAGGCCACGAAAAGAGACAAGTCTCTCTTTTATTAATACTTGGTTTGGATCGGGATATCTATGAAGATCTTCAACTAGTAAAGATTCATTGTCTTGAAGAACAGAGCCAAAAGAGTTTTCATTGGCATCAAGAAGAATTCCAATATCGTAATCATCCCTTGCGCACCTATACGGGATAAGAGATAGAATATTTGGACGAACAATTGATTCTAAGGAAAATGATTTGGACATTAAAGTTTTTATGCTTAGTCTCTCGGGATACTATATCGATATATGTTTAGCACTATTTGGTATATTTGTGATAATTAAATTAGTATGATAAATGGTAGGATGATCCTTCAGATTATCGATAATCAGAAGGCTTAGCGTTATATAAATGACTATCATCTTCATGGAAAGCATAGATGGTCACGAACAATGTCATTCAAATTATCTTCTTTAAAACTACCATCTAAAAAAGTATTGGCTTTTTTTGGCGTATGTGCTACTATACCTGGTTTAATTTATCGCGATAATGTGTTATCCAAAGAAAGAAAAAATCTCGTTGAACAAAAGGTCACTCATATAGCTTTGGAGCCTATGAGCGTAAATGAGCTACCACGTAAAGTAACGGTATATTTAGCACCGCCGTTAGGTGATGGAATACATAAGGCGAGGGTTCATTTTCGAGAATATGTCAAGGTAAAGATCGCTATTATACTACATACTTCCTTCTTTTCCTTTCTTTTTTTTAACGAACCGCTTACCTAATTAGATAGTGTTATAAATGAAATCATTGGATTATTGTCATTTTTATTCTCAATTATAAATTTGCTTCCTGCAATAGCCGGTCCTTGTTGCTGCAGCAATGGAATATGAGCTCGTTGAAGGCACACAACCAGGACAACTTCGTTCCAAAGTACGAGATGCAATAATAAAGAAGCGTAAAGCTGCAAAAACATCAGCTCCGACTGGTATCGAGTCTAATAATACGCATCAAACACCGCATTTATTAAACACAACAATTGGAGATGGCATCATTGTTGTTGGTCGTGTTAGTCTGGTTGAGTATCTACAAGGATTAAATGATGGATGTACTTCTTCGCTTACGGACTCTCAAGAAACAATATCAAATGAAAAAGACACGAAAAATGATAATGATTCAATTTCATCGACAGCAAGGCCTGAAAATATTATGCCTGATCCATTAAGCAGCTCTCAGGTAGTTAAGCAGGATGAGTTTTCTATTCCTGAGCTTGAACCGATTGGATATATTCGTTTCTATAACAGGATTGGATGGAAATATCTACCGCTGAGAATTTATCATGCTTTTAATTCCTACTTAAATTTTGATACTGCCGGTGAGGACACGGTTAAAGTAGCATTAAAAAACTCAAGGGAATTTACAGATGATGATCTAAATCTTGGCATGGATGAAAAAAAGTTCTTAAAAGGAACTCTTGAAAACCCAGAATTAGATCATAGAATTTTAAGTAAACTAAGAATCTATATCTAATTTTTGACAATACATTATGAAACTGTTAAATGTGTATCTCAAAATAAATGATTTTAATTTCAGAAATAACTAGAATGATTTATTGGTATTATTTATTGCATCATAATAAAAACCTATTCGTTTCTGAATTGAGATCTATACAAATCAGCCACCTAATGCCATAATAATATTCAAAATGAATTAAGAAAGTTATCTTGTTGCAATAATCAGCATACTATATTATAGAATTTACCTGATCGTTTGAAGTTGCATCTTCCGGCTTTTTATCTTCTCGTATCTGAATAAACCGTGGAAAACGTAAAGACACACCTTTAGATGGGTCAATCTAGAAATTTTAAATTTTTAAGTTCGGTAATTATTTTGATAATAAAAGCAAGTTATAAACAATGATTACCGCATACCTTCCCTAAAGCAGCCTTATAAATAGGGGAAATACTAAGGTCAGCAGTTTTTACTTCCCAGACCTGACAAGGTTCAAACCAAACATCTGGTTTTGCCCCTTTATCGTAATTGTAATACGTTTTTGGTTCGGGTATTTCATGTTCCTTAAGAAACTTAAAATGATTTTCCAGTGATACGTCAGAGAAACCTGTTCCAATTTTACAGATTGTTTGATATTCTTCATTATCCGGATCATAACAAGCAAGAAGGAACGTGCCGTACACGCTGGTACGTTTTCCACGTCCTAAGTATGCACCGATAACGACCAGGTCTAAAGAGTCTCCAACACCACTAATATAGTCTTTTTTTATCTGAAATCCGAATAATAAATTTAGCGATCTCGAATAATTCTCACTTATCGTGAATAAACTTTAAAATACCTTTAACCAATTTCTAGAACGTTTTGAAGGTTCATATCGTGACTCTTGACCATCTAGTATTTTTACCATTAGTCCCTCACAACTTGCTTTGACACTTTCATCAAGAAAAGCTTGTATTTCTTCAACGTTTGAGGCATTCATGTAACGCGCAAATGCAAATTTACCCTCAATTTCTTGAAATGCGTTGTACAATAATTCACGCCGTTCTGTAAAAGATTTTTGAAGTAGTGACTAGATAAAGTTAAATTTAAATTATTTGATTAGACTTACTATAATATGAAAAATGATTTATATGATATAAATGTCATGAAGTTGACGAACTTACCTCTCCATTCAGATAGAGCAAGTCAAAAGCGTAAAGACATACACAAACTTTTATATCTGATTCTTTTACATCTTTTCTTTTTCGTGTGCTCAGAATTTGGAAGGGCAGGAGGCAGTTTTTTTCCGGATCCCATGCTACGATTTCGCAGTCAAGCACAAAACTTTTGGTATCAGGTTTCACGATCTACATAATAGACAGCACACGTAATTACATTATCAAATTGTCACGGCATTATTTAATACAAGGGAATGAAAGTTTCATCGGTTACACTGGAAAGTTTCTCTAAAACGTCAGGATACTTCATAGAACTATCTTCCAAATTTCTGCTATAAATTTTTGTGGTACCATCTTCTAACATATGAATCTATATTCCAAAATATTAACATCACATTTAGTTATGAATAAATGAATGAAGCTGCTATAATTTGAGAATGATATTGAAAAACCATGCCTGCCCACGTTCACCATCATATTTAAACTCGCATGTGAATGTTTGTCCCTCAACTCTATCAAGCGCTTCAGTAATGCTCTTTGTTGGATGCGCTAACATCGGCTTAAGTGGAATACCTAATTTATGGTATATATTATTATCTATGCTATGCAGAATTAAACACGTAAATTCGTAATATATTTTACCAGGCGTCAATTTACAATCTTCTCTAAGACCTTTCACTCCTACTTTCAATAAAGTCGGAACAATTATATCATAAGAGGGGACCTCACTATCGATACAGTACTTTAGAATAACGTGAACTATATATCATTAGGATGTATGATAAAAATGCTAATCAAACCTATAAACTGATTTAACAATGTCTGCTGCAGCTGTCAATTCTTCCGCTTTTAAAGTTTTGGATAGATTTTGATATCCTATATGACAACAATTAGCTCAAATTTAAATTTATATATAATAAAATATTAAATCATTCACCAGGATCTTTTAATGCAATTGACTGTGCCAATGATATCAAAATTGTCTGTTCTGCTAGTCCAATGCGAAGCTTTCCTTCTAGAGACCTAGATAATGTTAATTTATTTTAACCATGGAGCTATGCATACATAAAATACGGTTCATTTCAATGTTGGCATCCGGACTAATTGAAGATAATATGGGTGGTATATTGACATAGTAATTGCTTGGATATATTGCGTTTGGACCGTCCAAATATCAACACTTGTTTATTTATGCTAATTACCTGATTAGGTACTTTGCCTCATCACCTCGACATGCTGTAAGTAAAAACTTTATGTCTCGAATCTTTCTTTCCTGAGACTTAAAAGCAGATGTTAAAAATAGATTATTACTATGTGAAATCTTTTTCTTTTTTTTTTTGGAACAAATATTACGTCTTGTCCATTGGTGTTTGCGATACTTTTCATTTTGCTAAAAACTGCTGGAATTGTCAAAGGCTTCGGCTTGACTAATGTTGGTTGAGTACTTTTGCTATCCTTTAATAACAAAACAAAACCAATTTAATAAAATAGAAATGCAAGGATAATGATAAAAGCCAAAGGCAGGCCAAAATTTGGTTTGTTACCTTAGCAACTTTTCCCAAATCACCCCATTTTGTTAATTCTTCCTTCACCTTTGATGTTTTTCTGCCAGTCGCTTCGGCAATAGCTTTTATTAACAAAGACTCACCGACACCTAATTCAAGATTTTCATATTCGGGACAAATCTAAACAATGTGGTTTGAGAACGAGAAAAATTATATGAACACAAATGGCTCGAACTTTTAAATATTATTTTTTATTTGACAACTAACGGCTTTTATAGTTTTACCCGATTGAGACACAAATATAAAGTCTCCAATAAATTGTCAGGGCTATGTTCAATGATTTGTACGAAAAACGTGGTTAGGTGCTCTTGTATTTCAAGCCGTTTTGTCGTTGCCTCGATTTTTTCGAAGGTTTTACAAAGAGCAGCATAAGGAACACTGTAAAATAGATTACAATAATAAACAAGAGTACTGTTATTATTCATTAATATTTAGTAACTTACGGTGTTCCCGCTTCCCAATCTATATCTGAGGCTTTGGTTGATACTAGATTTACTCTTTGAAACCGGAGCGATTAATAATTCTATGTAGAATAAGAATTCAAATTCATAATGTAAAATTTACTCACAAATTAGTAGCTGAAGCTTTAATTGCATTCATCTCCTTCTCAGCATCGATGCCATCATCATTTTTGGTATCGATTTCTTCCTCACTTTGAACTTTTTCTTCAACAACCTTGGGCTCTAATTCTTTCACTTCTTCTATCTTTAGTCCCATCTTCTTTTGGGACTCCCCTCCTCCTTTATTTATAGCAATAGTCGCTCGCTTTTTTGCTTTGACTTTAATTCTGTCGATTTCCTCTTCATCTTCCGCTTTCTCTCTCTCCCTCTTCCGATTGGGTTTGAAGCCCCGTCCGTTACTTGTATCCAAATCCATACCCCCATCCGTTCTTGGTTTGAAAAACGCGCTTTTGTATAAAGTATATGACGCGTCAGATTTGGATATTTAATAATTATTTAACAGTTCCAAAAAAAATTTACTTACCCTAGTTTAGTTTGTTTTGACATTTTAATTGTCGATTTGTTGGTAACGACGTGAATAAAATTGTCACAAAACTTTTTTACTAATTGATGGGTAAATTTTTCTCGCCTCAATATTAAACTTATCATTTGTTTGTAACCTTAGGGCGTAGAGTAAGTTAATTTGATTGGTTAAAACAAGTGATCGTCATTTACACAGTCACATGAGTCAATTATATATAGGAGGACTTTCTCGTGATTGGTTAATTTTATACAGTTGAATTTATACAGTTTAAAATACTTTTACGTCTTCACATAATAAATTTTTTTTTAAAAAATGTAACCTTCGTTCATAATAATACAGAAGACACTTCACGAACGAAACTTTAAGTATCTTGTGTATCTCTGGGATTCACCTTGTCTAGGTATACTTCACTTAGAGACAGTTTTTCACCTTAGAAAAATAGTAATAAGGTAATAAACACATTATTTATTACGAAATCGCGTGGTTTTGCACTTCTCTACTGCTGTGCTTTTTTATTATTCAACGAAGATATTGAAATAACGCTTTATTAATTACAATGTTCAATATATAGGAGTACAAATAAGCGACGCTAATAGTTGTCTAAATAATATTAAAGGAATGGAGATCTACGTATTAAAGGTTATTAAAAATAGTTGAATAGGCTTTTAAAAGACAAGAACTGCAACTTGTCAGAATAGTGACACTTTATTATATCGAATATAAGAAATTTTAAAGCACAAAAAATATTTGAATAAAGAAAAAAATCATTACTATTATTACATGTTCGAATGTTTAGCCAATTATAATTGACCAATCACGAGAAAGTCTTCCTATATGATTGGACCTCTAGGTAATATACTTACCTAAAACCTATCATAACCCTAATCTAAAGTGATCCAAACCCCAAAGCTAATCAAGTAAATTATTAAAAAATATGAGCCCCAAAAATTCGGTACTTTACCTTTGTAAAATATGACAGTGACGTTGTGGGTCCTTATTGAAAATTTAGAAGATTCTGGGAAGTTTGAGCTGGACAATGATCATGCTGACTTGGATAGTCTCAAAACACACCTTCTCTCACAGTCTGAAGTTCTCAAAGGTATTCACCCGCCTCTGGATAAGACTAGACTCCAGTTCTTTATCGATACTGAACGCATCCAAAAGCTTGCTAGCAGTACTTTACTGCGAGCTCTGGAAACTACTTCTGAAAAGCCTCTCATTTTGCGATACCCGTTCTCTGATAATAAGGGTAAATTAAAACGTCTTATTTTTTTTTTTACCTGACCACGTCTTGGTGTATCATATTAATTTTTTTTGTTTGTCGTCTTAAAGTTTCCATTCGCATAAATCTCGGCAGACCTTGGCTGGTTGCAACAATACCTCATAACTCCGGTATGTGGTTTAACTCGCGTCAGCGTGCCATAGATAAATTCGATGTTTTGAAGACGGATCCGCGCCCACACTTCTTCTTCTTCAATAACGATACACAAACTGAAATTACAAACGAATATGAATTTAATGATATGGTGGAACAAATATCTCCGAACGAAAATAAAGTTCGACAGGTGTCTGTGACTGTTCGAGTGGAAGGTTGAGTTATCTCGTTCAAGAAAGTCCTAATCAGTTATGAAATGAATGTTCATATGTCCGATTTTCATGTTTCGGTAGGAATGAAAGCCTACAGTGAATGGAATTTAAGTGAAATCACTAGAACCCTCTTTGGAGAAATGTGGGACTCTATAGATTCTACTCCTAAATTCGACAAAGGTGCAGTTTTGATCTTTTCAGATTAGTGTACGTTTCTATGTGTTATGCTCGTATATAATTTAACTAATTTCTACACACAGATGAACTACCAAAACCTGAGAAAGAGATCGAAGTTCCGGATGGGTTTTATAGTGAGATCAGAAGAAAACTTGAAGCCTTTCAAACAATCAACAATGAACCCACTGTTCGTGAGTTCACTTCACCATTTCTCACAACGGTGGTTGTGATTTTGAAGAAAAATCAGTATAATTTAAAACTGAACGCGGAAATAAATCTCTAGGGAAGCCGGGGGTTTGGCCCAGTTGATTATTCTATCGAGAGTGATGGCATATTAGTAATTGTTATTGAGGTAAAGAAAGAAGACTTCAATCAGAGTACAGCGCAAGCATTCGCCCAGATGCACAGCGCAGTCGAGGTGCAGAAAATATCAATTCGCTCCTTTTATACCTATTCTATATCTAATTAGTTCAAAATTTGCTTTTCAGGCTTTAGAGAAAAAACGCAAACTCGATCAGACTGACTTCGAAGAAGGCAAGTTTCCTGTCATGATGTATGGTATTGTAACGAACTCTCGCGAATGGGTGTTCATTCGCTGGGTCGGCGACTCTAAGGAACCGAAAATCGCGATGACAACGCAGCTGCCTTGCCCATTTGACGGTGATTTGTCACGTGCGAAGGAAATTCTAGAATATATCATTGGGATTCTTGAATCACATATCAATAGCATTATCACACCATATAAAAAAATTAAAGTATAATGATCATTAAGATTTGGTTTCGATCTCTGATTTAATCGTTGGATCACTAGTTTTATCACGAAAAAAAGCGATCACATTGTATCGGATGATTTTTTGTCATACATATTAGGAATTAATTACGTACCGAACTTGTTGAAAAAATTAAATAATCAATAAACCTGGATAATTCACTAGTTTATTAACAAAAAAAGAACTGCATCACCTGTGAGCTAACAAGTCGATAATTATATTGTTGATTTTTTTTTTTTAACCCAAGATAGTAACTATCCGGAAAGTCGAGTGACCCAATTTAGAATTTTTGATTTGTTTTTTTACTCATTGTAATAATAATAAAAGTAAAATGCAGTATTAGGGGTTGTGATAAAATTCGAAAATTCGTAATATTCATTGCTAGTTAAATTGCGACATTTTATATTGGATCATGCAATTCTATCAGACTTAATATTTGGGGAAGATAAAAAGCATCGGATTGTATGAATATATCGAACAAAGCTGTTGGATTTCTTACAGCGGGTAAACTATATACAAATCGTTTAACTATTTTTTCTTTCCAATACTTGATCACCTTTGTTAAGTTTCATTATACCAATTCTCTTAACCCGTATTCTTTGATAAATTCATTATAACCTTCATCCGTCTTGTTATCTAACATCTTACAATTTTTATATAAATGCGATATATTAAATTAAAACAAATTCACGAAACACACATGCAAAAATAAATATAATTATATATACGAAATCAACCACCAGGAAAACTGTGGATTTTTTCATTAATGAGAGGGCTTTACGTACAAATTTTAACACCTTTGGTACTAGCTCCGCTAAATTATCATTATCATTACTTATTACCAAATCATTATCTCCGATTTATTTTTATTTAACGTTTATGATTATCCTTACAATATAGATGTGAATGATGATTGCATTCATCGCAAACCTTATACCCGTGCTTCTATCCTCTAAAGATATGCCACTTTTCGATATAATTTCAACTTTTTTTATTCATAAGTGTGTTATTATAATTTTTCATCGTTATATACAAAAAAATAAATACGTAGCTATCGTGTCTTTAGACACTGGCTCTGCCATACAAACCTGTAATATGTGGCACCATATGCCTGTGCCCCGTCTTACTAATAAATTATGCATGAGCCTAAAACTCTTACATGTAGAATTTCGAAAAAGCTCTATCATCATTTTTTATGAATTCCTCTACTCTATTGTACGTACAACAAAATGACGGTGAACTTTTTTATTTTTCAGACCAGAAATGTATATCGAGAGTGTGACACTAGTGACATGTTACACCAGGCGCAGTAGTATGGCGCAGTAAAATGTCACTCGTAATGTTAAATATTACATAATCAATATTTTCCTGACTTAATTTAAAAATAGATGATGCATTAAAAGATCTAATTCTGTCTATTTTATTTTCACCTATAGCATCAAAAAAATAATATAATTTTCGGGCCTGCTTTGTTTTTTTTCACAATGTATTATTACTTATTTCTTTGAGAAGTTAACTTCTAATTTTATCATTTACCAGGATTTGAGCAACTTGGTTTTTGTAATTTCTTTTATAATATTTAAGGCATTTTTTATGATTTCAGTCAAAATTATAATAGGTTCTAATAATATTTTAAATAGTTTTTTTATTATCTTTTTCAGTTTTTATAACTTGTTAATATAAACTAAAAAAAATTAACTGAATCTGAATCATTTTTATCAGTAGGTACTAGACTTAACTGTGTAAGAATAATATTTTCTGCAAAATCTAAATTATTAGAATTCAACTTATCAATTAATTTTTTTAAATTTGTAGGTTTTGTTTTATATCATTTTTATAAATTTTTTTTTTAGATTTTGGTTTAATACTTTAAATCAATTTTGTATAATCTGAATATAATAAAGAATGTGATATGATAGGGTTAAAAAATATATGTTGTATCTGAAATTATTATATTTTGATTTTAATTAGATGTTATTTGTGCTATTTATAATAAAATTTGTATTAGATCTAAGGTATTCTATATTTGATCTTATAAATTAGGTTTAAAAATATTAGAATAATATATATAATTAATAGATTCAATTTTCATTACATATTTAGAACATTGTAAAAAAATTTTTATATAATTTTTAAGCCAATTACAGTAGAATATATGCCTACAGATTAGTATTATAAATAGTTTTTTTAAGTTTATACAAAAAAATTTTCTTTTTATATCTTGAACATAAGTCTAGTTTTGAAATTCTGATATCTTTTGTAATAATATCTGAAGAGTTATTATTAAGAATATTTAAAGTAAAAGTTTTAAAACAAATATTTTTAAAGGTTGGATCAATAGACATATTCAAAGATAAAAAATTTTTTATAATTAAAAAATTAGTATATGTTATTAAAAGTTATAGATAGATAAGTTTTATATAACAAAATTTCTTAACTTATTTATATTGTGTATTTCTTATAACTAACAATTTTTGTTTACTTACAAGTCTTATATTCAAATAAATATAGATTATAATATATAAGATAATTATATAATCTTTTTCTTATATATTTGAAAAAAGTGTTAATTTTGAATTTAAGAATTTATTTATTTACAAATTATTTAGTATGGGTCAGAAGAGTCAAAGACTCAATTCAAAAAATTATTGTTTAATCTTTATTAGCAATTGTAGATTAAAAATTTAGTTTAAGAATAAGTATAGTTAGTGAGTTGATTAGTATATATTAATGTAAGCTTAAAAAACACCTAATAAATCTAATTATTACAAATAAAAACAGGTTTAAAAAGATGAAGTTGGATTGTAATAAATAAATAAATAAGTTATAAACTAATTTAAATACTTCTATATAAATTATGAATATCTTCAATTTTAGTTATAGAAGTATTCTTATTAGTTAACTTGAATATGGAAACTCAAGTTTCTAATTTAGGCATTGGATCTGATTCAAGATTAGAATTAAAAGTATCATTTTTAGCATAATACTTTTCAAAATCAAAATGTTTATCTTATATCTTATTATAATTCTGCTAAAAAATTCAAAATAATGTAAAGTTGAATTTTGATTATTATGAACTCTAGAAGTATATTTTTTTTTAATTTTTTTTTAATTTTTTAGTTATAATACTATATAGTTTTAAAATTTTACTAAATACTTTTTATACTATATTTTTTATTAATACTATAAACAAAATTGTGTAACTTTTTAGTTATTATTGTATCTTGGATTTAGATAAGCAATTCTTTGTATATTTTGGATTTTTTTATATAGATAAAAATTGTTAAGACTTAGGATTATTTTTTGCCTCTTCTTTATTTTTAATATATCCAATACAATATCAAGAATAACTAGACTTAAACTATTTAGAAGAATTTATTTTTTTTCAGTATTAAAGTAACCTCTTTGGTCTGAGCTTTTTTATTAATACTTATAGTAGGTACATGTTTTATATAGACGTATCTATAATGAATTATTAGACAAGTATACAACTGGCTACACATGTAATTTTTTTATATTACCTATTTAAGGAGTCTGTCTGAGGGTTTCCTACTAGTTGCTATACCTAACACCCCTGCTTAGATGTTCTATTTAACCCTCTAATCTAACCCTAGTATTAATTTCACTAGATCATAAACCCAGATTTATTCGCTATCAACCATAGAACTATAATCCTTAGACTATTTTTATCCTCGAGGTAAACCTACCAGAGCGAGCTGTATTCTCTTTTACTACTAACCTGGTTTGACGCTATGGCCGAGACCAACACTTGCAGTCAAGGTTACCTCTTAAACTGCTATTACCCTTGAAAGTTCACCCAAATCCTGGTGCTCATCTTTCTGACTTCTTCTCTATTATCCCCTACTAGCCACAACTTAAAACTAACTGACTTCTCAGACTCCTAATCCAAATGGCCTAGTATGATATACTTATGTATCCTTTTTCTTCAGTGATTCCGGTGGCCTGGTTGGTCATGTGCTTCTTTATACATCTTTGTTATCTGGTTTATCTGACAGTTCCTATGAAGGTGTTTTATGAGCTTTCATCAGTCCAATAGCACTATTAAAAGTTTGTGCTACCTCTTTATTCAGGATTTTTATATGAGTTTCTGTCTTTTCAGTTTCTTAGCCTTCTACGTACAGTAGTCTTATCATGGGTTTGCCCAAAGCCTTATATGATACCAATTTTATATTCCTCTATATACATGTACCATGTAACGTTATACTTCACATAGATGCTTCAAGCTCTCAATGTCAGATAAGACCTGACTTGGTATACCTAAGATTACAGATGCCCAAAACCCAACTGATTGGCAAGAGACAGTTATTGTAACACAGGTATAATTTTCAAAATTCGTTGTCCATGAAAATTGAACCTTAGACCTGCCACTTGAGGGTTAACATATTTAGAAGAATTTAATTTATCAAGTTTATAATAAATAATATAAAAAGTAACAACTTTAACAGGCCTTATACTCAATATTATAATTATATATATATATATATTTTTTTGAACTTTGGTGACAATGCCAGTTGGTTTTTATTAGCCTTAATTTGATATAGTACAAATTTATGGTTACAT